GCAGTCTCTCCGCTGCCCGATGAAACGTTGTTTATTCAACAAATTCTCAGCGTTGCATTGTTGAAGAGTAAGCACAAACTTGAAGGTATATTTGTTGACCATAATTAATAAGTGAAACTAGGAAAAAATGCATTTTTGATGGCCATAATCGGTCTGCAGATCGACCTCACCTGTGCATTGTCCAGGCACTCAGGAACGTCCTGTGGCCCATGGATTTTTGCGAGAAAAGTTACACGAGCCAGACTTTGAGTAGTTATGAAACAAATCCGTGGAATGATACACAGTTAATCACATTCGTCCAAATCAGACAGTTTTGGCTAATTGCAGTACATGCATAACATCCTATACACTGCCTTAAAAACCTGCCCGAGTACGAAGCTTGTCGGTAATAATGTAAAAGTAAACACCTAAATTACTAATCAGCTGCAACATCATTACTGGTAGGCCTATCGTAGACACAAAATAAAGCAAAAAAGGAGTTCAGTCGAGCTGACCTGTGCGATGTTGTGCGTAAGGGAAAAGTGTAGTTAATGACAGTATACTTTTGGTTCCATTTCAGTGGCTAATTTTAGTTCTTTTTTACCTAAAAAAGATCTATATTTACGTGGCCTTGAATTTTTTCAAGAAAAAAGCCGCTCACCACAATGCATTTTCAAGGAAAGCCTCACTCATTAGCATGACACTCATGTAACATAATATGATAATTACTTCTGTGTTCCGATTGTTTGGATTTTGCTCTAAAGGCCTTGTTTATTTACAGCAGTGGGGAGTTGGATCTGGTATTTGGGTAAAATACTTTTTATGAACTCTTTACTAACCCCTTTTGCAAATGTGATCTATTCGTTTTATTTTTTTCGACGTGATCCATCTATCCATGCTCTAATTTACTCTTAACGAATATGCTGCTGATTGTTGGCTTTCATTTTTTTTCCAAAGTGCTCAGTTTTGTTTATAGACCCTAATGAAATGGCGCAATTTAAGTAAATACCACGCAATTGCCGTTAACACAAATCATGATTTAATGAGGCTTCTGCAATCATTTCTTACCTTCGTACCCGTTTGTGTGGAATCAGTTTAACACCTTGAGCATTCAACATAAATTCAGTCGCATCAAGTACTAGTGAGAGGGAAAATGAAGGCTTTAAATGCAATAAATCTACCTTCAATCTCGAGTCTCCTTTTCCACTTTTACGTCAAAGTGTTAAAAATATTTCTTCGGCATTTACTTGTGAACTTAAAAGAATTCTTTGCAAATGTAAAAAAAATTGAATTTAAAGCAATATTTGCACTTGTGCGTTTTGCTTTTAGCGTAAAAATAGCGCCATGCGTTGAGTTAGAACAACGCTACACGCGGGCTCTGAACCGTGAAATACAGTTTTATATCACACAATTTGTTGCCATGGATCGACCAATCAGAAATGAGAATTCAAGTTTGCCTGAAGATAATAGTTATAGTTATCACGCTTACGCTCGTTGAACAAGGAATGGTGTGATGCGTGTGTGTCCACTCGGCCAAACGTCAAAATGTTGCATTTACATATATTATGCATTTCGCCGTCTGGATCAAAAATTGCATAGCGCGGCGCTATATAATCTTTGGTCTGGATTTCGCTCGTTCCAATTTTACTCTTGAACTCTTCATCTGTTGCATTCAGCCAGTCGGCACTCTCTTCATTATGCTGGTGCATCTGCATCACATAACTGTTCTCCCATAAAATTCTATGTAGTAGGCAACTGTACTTTTCTACACAATCTATTCATCATCGAAATCAACCTGCTATTTCTATTGCTACCACCAGATGGAGGCACGCAGCTCACACTCAAGTAAATTACAATTAGAGATGGGATCTTAGAGATATGCTTAAAAAAATATGTCTCAAATGTGATTGTTATTCATTCCATTTTCCTATAGACTGTCTCAAATGTCATTGTTATTCATTCCATTTTCCTATAGACTCTCTCAAATGTCACTGTTATTCATTCCATTTTCCTGTAGACTGTCTCGAATGTCACTGTTATTCATTCCATTTTCCTGTAGACTGTCTCGAATGTCATTGTTATTCATTTCATTTTCCTATAGACTGTCTCAAATGTCATTGTTATTCATTCCATTTTCCTATAGACTGTCTCGAATGTCACTGTTATTCATTCCATTTTCCTATAGACTGTCTCAAATGTCACTGTTATTCATTCCTTTTTTCTGTAGACTGTCTCAAATGTCATTCTGCGGCGCAAATTTACACGCAGTGCGCAGATCGTTGTGCCCCTAATGTCTGCAACCACTCACATGAGGCCTGAATGGATGAATCTGGGACATTTTCATCTTAAGCCGAGAGACTCGACATATTTTCGGTTTTTTATTGGAGGGCGACGGCGGAATCATTTCTTTTGTTTTAAGGGGTGCTGTCAGCAAGTTCTAGTGAACTAATTTTCAAGATGCAATCTGAAATTAAAGTGCAATTATTGGGGGGGGGCTTTTGTTATCTAACCACACAGCAAATGAGTTAATACTCTGTCGTCGACATAGGATTGTAAAAGCACACACTGCTTCATTCCATTCTTGTAAGTCTAAGCGACTCAACTGAAGCTAATGAGCCATTTACGGATTCCTTGATTAATCACAAAGGGTTGGCAGTGAATGTTTTCCGGCTGCATCCAATCAATAAAATTCTGCTTGATGTAATGGAGGATGTCCAGACTACCTTTTAGAAATTCCTTCTTGCATGGTGCACCTTTTAAGGAGAATTAACCCTATTATGAAGAAACTGGACGTTCATAAGGGCGATGGCGTCGCACCGATGGCACCCTTTTTAAATTGTTCTCATTTCTGACCGACCCTATTGATTTGGCTTCTGACCTCGGTATAAAAAGCCGTTTTTTTCTACCGACCCTGCTGAGAGGACCTTGCCTATGGGAAAAACTAGGATGTGATGGCCTGAACAAAAACGTAGGAAATGTACATGTGCAATAGGATTTTGCCCAAAAATCAATGCAGCGAGTCAAAAACCACAGTACGGCATCAGAACCAGACCGAGCGGTAAAGTACCGCACCCAATGCGCTAAACACATGTGAAGAGTGCCACAGGAAAAAAACGAAAACGTAGACATCTATTAGGTACACAACTCTTACACGAACACCGTAGAGTGTCTGGCTCTGATATTGCGTTGTGTAGGCTTACCAATAAAAATATTTCTCTGCACTCAGCTAGAAACAAAGACACTAATGGTATTCAATATAAAAACAAGTGCACTCTGCCTGGTTTATTCAGTCATTCATGTGACATTTTGGCTAGAGTGACCTGCTTGGGCTTAATGAGTAATAACCCCCAATTTTGACTTTTTGAGTTAGGCATATGTATATGAAAAGAGACAGTAAGAACTGGACTTTCCGGTGTTACCATATTTGTTGTACCTTACTGCACTCCGAAGGTACGAGATGACAAGAAACACCATCGCGGACAAAAACCATTTTCCGAGAAAAAAAGGGCTTTAAAAAAAAGAGCCCGCACTCCGCCACCAGGTTTTCGAAATCGAAAATGTTGTGTGAGCGCACACTATCGTTCTTGATTCAAATCACCATGGCAACAACAAAGTTAACAAAAAGCTATCACCATGAAATGTCACCTAAGATTGACTAAAATCTTCAACCTTTGTTTCCCGTAAGTTTTTTTTCTATGGATTTGTTTCAGGAATTTTCTTTTTTTCACCGACCGACCTTCGCTCAATCGAATGAGCATCACATTATGTGATGAATCAATCTCTGTATTTGAGCAACCCTGTACAAGTTATACCAATGAAATCAGAGGAGGAACTGTTGTGTATTCTTCTTTGAGCAAAAACTTCGAAACTTTGGACTTTTTTTCGAATCATGTGCAAACGATTTATCATTCTTTCATACACTTTTTCTCCTATTTCTTTTTTCTCCTGTTTCTCCTATTTCCAAACTGCACAACATGCCATACTTTATGGAATAAGTTTATGCAGTAAAAGCCTTTAACTGATCTAATGAGAATAATTTTGTCCTGAACCAAGTAATTAAAATGAACATAGTGGTTTATTAGCCAGAATCAATTAGTAAAGATGTGCATACGTTCGTGAAATCGAAAACTCACGTTTTCCTACTTTTTGGCCCTTCTGTTTAATATATTTTCCCGCAGTAACCAAAACACTGTTATTATTGTAAAGGGCACGCATGTCTACGAGCGCTCTACTGTAAATGTAACTAAGATGTGTGGCCCTTCGTGAAAACGAAAATCTTACTCGACTTAGGTTTCGGCCTTTCCAGTCAATACGTGTTTTGTGTGTGTGCGAGGGGCAGTCAGATTTGTGTCTCTTTGTAAAAAATCAAAAAGCAGTCATTGAGATTTTGCATCAAAAATAATGTAATCGAAATCGTCCAAAGTGCCATTGTTGACATGTTTTGCTCTTTGTGAAAACCTGGACGAATTATTCTCCAGGCTGTTTTAAGTCAGTGGTAACAGTAGCGAAAATGACCATAATAAACCGTTTTCTTCGATTTTGTGCACGTCTGGGATGGTAACAGAAAGGATTACAGGACACGACCTCAAAACAAGAAAGCTCAAGAAACGTGTGCCATTGGTTTCGTAAACACAGTCTCGATTGTTCGATCTGGGACCTCATTAAATTGGGATCCAATAGTGATCTCATTTTTTCAACCCGATGTTATTGCGGGATTCTTCCGCCCAATGACTTCTGCATGATATGCCACTAGCGGATCTACAGGCTGGGATGAGGCTAAACATTGGATTAACCCCCCGCCCTTGCGTCGGTATACAGAATGACCCATACCGCTTTCAAATTAACTCACCATGAAGAGAATGAATATCTCAGGGGAGGAATTCCTGAAAGCCTGCTTGATTAAAAAATGGGAATCATGCGTTTCTGATATTGTTTCCTCTCTTAAAGTCAGGTACTGCCTTATTACGCTGGTTGACACGCTGTGATTCATGCTTGTTTGGGTTTTTTTAATACCGATCCAGATGTCAGCTAGCTCGACTTCAGACGTGCTGTCCTACAAGGAGCGTTTCCCGTATTTCTTCAGGACGAATCCGGCTCAATCCGGGCTGAACACGCCTCGGATCGCTATCATGAAGGAATACGGTTGGGAAAGAGTAGCCATTATACATGAAAGCAACGACGTCTACACGAATGTACGTCCCACGTGGTACCCTATGTATCCACTGTTCTCGTCATTACAGACATTTCCGTTGAATGCTGGTTATAACAGAATTTGGTGCTGGTTTATTTCTCCCTCGAGATATTTAGAGGGAAAGGACCAGCATTCCTGGTAGCCTATATACGGGGTTGCAATGGCATATCGAGAGGCGATGGGGTGATGCCCCCCCCCGACCTGGACATCTTACCAGTTTGCTTGTTGGTTTTATTTTCATTTTTTTTGTTGTTTTTTGTAATTGAAAGTACAAACACTTGGTTGTAGCACTTGATACTACGGGTACTGACACAATTCCTGACAGAGGACTCTCTCATGGTTCAAAGCAAAACGTTGCGGGAAATCGTTTCAGAATAAGTTTCAATTTTACCTCTTGGACTCGTTGCGTGGACAATTCGCTGTTGGTGGGCGCATGCGCATTCGGTTTAAAGTGCCAAAGTATCCAACACCTTGTATCCAATCAGAGCTTAAAGAAAATGACATTGCCTTTGATTGAGCGGTCGTTTGCACGTATGCACATGGGTGCTTACAAACAGATGTTGCAGCTTCTATTGTCTGAGCATTACTTTACAATTTTTGGTTGCTATGCTAATAATTATTCTTACACTTGGAATTCAGAAAAAAAGGTGCTGCATCATACTTTTATGCAAGGAGCGAATAAATAGACTATTTTATTCACTTTTATGTTTCAAACCACTAAGAAAAGATGCCGTAACCCATACCACACTGAGAAACCTTACTGTAAATTGGGCAAACAATTCTCTTACGACTCTATTAACGTCTACCCTCTCCCACGCCATCTTAAGATTTGGTGTTAAGATCACGTTAACCAAGACTTCTTTTTGTTTATTTTCCCTTTTTTTCAGGCAATGAATAAATTTTCGGAAGAGTTATCACTGAATAACCTTAGCCTTGTGGCAAAAGAGTCCTTTGCGAGTGGAGAAACACCTTCAGCCCAGCTTAGGAATTTGAAGGTACAGTCTGTGTCCAAAAGGTCGTTTTTTTCAGCAGTAACGGGGTACATGTTTTTTTAATCAATATCAAGTGACGAAATAGTTACTGACAAGTAACTAATCCTGACGCAGTCTTGAAGTCCCACGGTCTTATAATTACGGTTTCACAATTAAGCCTCATCCCAAGTCTTAGCGTTGTTTCAAATGTCAGCTTCAATTTGAGCTCAGAATATTTACTATTAAAGTAAACCAATGGCTCAAATCAAAAGATTCTTTTCAGAGAAGAACGCAGCAGAAAAAAAAGAGCCACATTAAGCTACAGGGCCGGAAAGTCTGGATCATACACAGAGGGACATAAAGCCAGAGACAAAGCCAAGACTTGGACCCCACTCCTTAGTTTAATTCTAGTCCTTTCTTGTCGGACAGTTAATACTGTATCCGAATACATGCATTACATTTAGTGCAGGCGTGGACTTAAAATCCATGAAATAAGGAATAAAAGACTATAGTGGATGATCCTGCACAAGGGTATTCACAAAACAACTTGTCTTTCAGAAATACATACCGGCTTAAACATGCCATTTACAAGGGGTCTCAAAATTAAACGTTGTTCTGGTGGGATACCCTCAATAGAGCTAAAGTCAGACACTTAAAACTACATGTATATGTGAAGATCTTATTGTTTTTCTTACTTTAAAATAAGGTTTCTTGTAAACAAAACACGTCCTGCACATGCCCAAAAATGATGTGGAGTCTTAAAAGGACCCATGTAGTCCAAAATGTCTGATCTAATCCTTCTCAGTATACTCTGGTGTCACTATTTATGTCATTTTTATTATCACTTGTTGTGTTTTATGCTCATGTTAATTTAGTCATTCAAGGAAAAAAGTCAACGGAATAGCTATTCTCGCACGTGCATATGATTGGGGGCATTTGCTTCCTTAATTTTTCAGTTAGGTTCACAATCAGAAACGTCCTCGTAGTGTACATCATATTAAGTCATCCTGAAACTTTCATTGTACCATCAGGATCCTAATGAGTTGGGGGCAAATAAGGTTATTTTAAAACTTTCATAAAGTTAGATTAGAGATTAGATTAGAGGAGGACAATTCTTCAATTTTTTTAATTGTGGACACAAATTAGACACAAAACGTACATTTGTCACAGATAAAAGTAAATAAAAAATTATTAATGACAACATTTAGGTGTTAGGTTAAGCAAATGCTTTTGTACTCTAAGCTATGGACAGACAGACAACAAGGAGGCAATCAGAAAAAAAACCATACAGACAAGGGACAAACAAATCATAGCATACGGATGACAAGTGTGAGACAAGGGCAAGATGCTTAATTAAAAGAGCACTTCTGAAAATGTATATTTCTCAAAAAATTGAGTTTTGAGTTTCTTTACAAAACCAGTAAAGATTGTAGTTATCTAGCGATTCCAATAATGTATACCTTGGTTTTCAATGGGACTAACCAATATATCGCTGTAAAATAGTTTCAACATTGAAATAGATTAGAACGTAGCACTACAAGAGTTCCAACTAAAATTAATGTGATAACCCTTTCAACCTTTTACCTGCCCCAACCGCACTATATCCGTTTCATAAGTGCTTCGTCATACACGCAGACGCGCTTCGATTTGCAGGCTCCCAGAGGATAATCGCCGAAGTTGTGCGTTAACTTCCGGTTCCATGAGCCGTGCATGTGCAGTGGGCGTGGTTTAAACTAAAGTGACGTCACACTTACGAACCGGATGGGGCTATGTCCAAATAAACTGGCTGCGATCAGGTGTAACAATACGGATCAAGAGGAGGTGCCGCTATGGCCGCTAACCAGTGGCTTTTACCGGCTCAAAGTATTGCCAAGTACAGCTGATAACCATCTGTCTTCCATGACCATCGACTTTGTTTTACATTTGTTTGTTTCTTCAGGACAAAGATGCCCGGATCATTGTGTCGAGTGCTTACACAGAAGGATATAAGTTGATGTTTTGTGAGGTGAGCAGAGGCGTTTTTTCAAGGAAAATTTGCCAAGTGGGGACGCCGTCAAAGGCATCAAAATTAGAAAAAATAACGGTAGTTGCCTGAATCGCTTGATTCAAAAGGGAGTAAATCTGAACAATATGGAGAAATGGGTAAAGCGCAGCAATAGCACAAACGTCTACCTCAAGGGGTTATACAAAATTTGCCATTTAGCCTGAAATAAATTCCAAGAAAAGCTTCGCTTAAAAACGCCCACATTCTAAATACATGTCTTCCAGGCTAGAAAATGATATCAAATATTTAAAGCATACACAGATGAAGGAAATCAAACAAGGTCTATAAAAACTGAGCTCATTCCGTCTTGCGTATTGATTTGAGTACATGTAAATGGTCCTGAAAGTTGCCGTAAAGACTCGGTTTTTCTCTCTGTCATGGAATTCCATTCCTCGTAGGCATTCCGCCTGGAAATGTACGGCCCGAGGTATGTGTGGATGATCGACAGCTGGAACAGCTTGTATTGGTGGAAGAATGTCACACACCTGGGCTGCTCTGAGCAAGAAATGTACCAAGTCGTCCAACATCACGTGGGAACTGTGTTCCTGAATATGCGTACGGACACCGAGCGAACCGCCTCCCAGCTGGTAAGAGGATTTTGCCAAACCCCTCTTCTAAGCCACCGATTTACTCATCAGGGTGGGAAAAAAACGCTGTTGCAAAGTTAGAGTTCCTGGTGGTCTTCTTATAAAACAGCTGTCAACAGTGACAGAGAATGTCACACACCTGGGATGCAATCAATAGTGCAATACATGTGGCGATGTTGGCATACCCTGTGTACATCTTTATTGCAGTACGCATGCGTAAGCGTGGGCCGCCTTCACTGATCTCTGTACACTGGATGGGCAGCTCTGCTCAGGAAACTGGAGCGACGGCGCGGCCATCTTAGGCTATTCAATGCAATGGCATTTTCTAAGTCCCCGGCTTTAGCGCATTAAGTCGCTTCCCTTTAGCGCCGTGCATGAATTCACTTTGGTGAATGGACTGAAGTTGAAGGCCATTGTATTGACTATCCTAAGATAGCCTCGCCGTCACTTCAATTCACTCGTAGGCGTTACTGCTGAGCTGTCTATCCAGTGTATAGAAATCAGTGGGTGGCTTTGGTAAGCTTACATGCCACAGTCCTGACATGGGGATGGTCGCGTATGTACTGTGTCAAAGAAGTCAGAGATGGTACGAAGTTAACACCGTGTACTCGTAGAAGCTAGGGCCTGTTTTGGATCTTGATGAGTAATTCCAAAGCTGGTTTACTCCACCATCAATCAGACAAGATCTGGTATTAGTCAATCAACTTTAGATCACTGCGATTCAAATAGGACCATGGGTCAGGATCATGATCAGTGGTCCCAACGCTGGTTCGCTCCATATCCAGTTGGTTTGTTCTGCTGTCGGCGGAGCAGTTAGCTGTTGTATTATGACTGTTACAGGCCCTTTCATGTGGAGTTATTTTAAATACCGGTACACAGCTTTATACGTTAGGGATATTAAAGTTGAAGTATATTCATATCTTTGACCCACGAATCGTAAAAGTGGTTCCTTGATACTGCTGGGAAACGTGCGTGAACCTGTACACGAGCGGGGGTGCCAATGCAGCAGTGGTTTTAAATCAACCCCGACGTGGTTCAAGAAGCTTGCCCCGAATTACGAGGTACAGCAACAGTGTCTTTAGTCTGGGGAATTCAAATAGCTATGTTATGTGCTTTCAGGTAACTCAGTGCACCAGATTTTATTCAAATTTAACTCGCAAATGGTTTATTGGTTTGACTTGTTAACGACCTGAATAACTTTAGGCCATTGCGGTTATATCAATTTGAGGAGTCAATTGTGCTTTCCAACATCCTCAATTACGTTATGACATTATTGTTTTATATTTATTTTATATATATTTAACAACACGGCACCAATAAGCAGCGTTCTCGGTATCATGTGGCTTCCAGCACCCCCAACACCCGCCGGTCATGCGCCATCCTCCCCCCCCCCATTTGCCGACACAAATAAACGCCACCGATTCCAACATGAATTTCTTATAAACCTGAGTGCGCACGTAGTGAATTCCTTCCCAAGGTCATAATAATGGAAACTATGACATCACCTGTTCCTGCGCGGAGCGAATTCCGGTGGCCAGATTAGTGTATAATTTTAGTTATCCTTCATTTCCCAAAATCCACACAGCTGGAACGTTAAAACGCGCATAGATTTGTTGGTATGTTATGTACGCGCTCTAGTCAGGTCCTCTTTGCATGGATATGTACACATATAAACTGATTACGACATGAAATGCTTAGGTCCGTACATGGTGTAAACTTCAGCTGTTCCGGGCACATCGATCAGCTAAGAACTGACCTGTCAGTAGGGGAATCTTGACGCAAAACTGCTACACCAAGAAAATGTAAGAGTTTGAAGTGTGACAAAATCTCACATAAGTGTAAAATTTGCTAGAGTTGACATAGAGCAACCTAGCATACCGTTATGTGACTGCACTCCAGTAACTCAGAGGGGATGTTTATTCCTATTAGTTATCTAGTGCACTATTGGTGAACCAGGATTCTGCATTATTTCTTTAATATTCATTCAAAATTCTCCCGAATTAATATCTGGCACAGTGTTTGAGGCATCCAGTATAGCCGCGCCCGGAATATCCAGGGTATACCACAACGCAGGTACCGGTATGCGTGTCGCATGCATGTTAATGCCTCATTTCATATAAGGTTATCGTTGATGCTCGCTCATTAACCACAATTAATGACAGAATACTGTCTCTCCTGGAGTGGGCTAATTGCCAATTTAGCTGCAAGGACCCAAGGGAACGTCCATAATTTAACCTTGAGTAGTTCCACTTCCACTTAGTGCTTATTTGTTGACACTGATTGGGTGCTATGAAAATAAACCACTTCTTCCGAAAAGTTTAAGGTTGACATTATTTTGAGAGCCTTGGTGTTGAAAAGCACTGACATAGTTTTTTGTAAATTGGGGTACTCAAGCAGCAAATGAAGGAAAGATGCACAGCGGACGCGAACGCTGAAGGGAGATACGCAGTGCTGGGCTTTGGTCAGTCAGCTCAACTCAGTTCAGCTCTGCAAAAACATCACTGAAAAGATTACGGAGTAAAATGTCACGCCATACATTGTTCAAGTCGAATTAATAACAAACAAGACGGGCAAAAGACACACCGAGTGCTAATTTACCTCTCACGAGTTAAAAAACATACCAGGCCGTGGAAAATCAAAGTGTGGGGGAGGGGCGCTGTTCATGAAACAGATGTACACGTTTTATGTATACTTATAATCCTGAAAACGGCTTTTTAAAAAGCTTTGGTACTTTATCTACCCTTTCAGAACCACTGAATAGATTTTGTTAGGAAGTTCGAAAATACCTCAGAATGCACCTTTTCTCCTTTCACCACCAAAAGTAGGGGGGTGATGCAGTTGCTTTCTGTTTCTAACGCAAACCTGGAAGTTTTCACCGACAGTTTTGACAAGAACTTTTCACTTTAGAAAGAGAGACTAATTTCCTTCATTTCATCCTCTCGAGCCTATGTATTTCATTCTTCCTTTCCCGTATTTTTTTTGGTAAATTTTATCCTCCTTTGCCTGCATCATGTTCACTTCCTCAATTGCTGTCATTATCTACGACAGACAGCGAGTCAGTACCAAGACGCCTATGCCTCTTACACGAACGGCCACCCCTATCCAGGGGAGGATCTGGCTCCCTTTGGCTACGACTCAGTCTGGGCCTTGGCACTGGCCCTGCACCGCGTAGCCAGTGACCTCGCAGCCGAGAACTCGTCCATCAGGATTGAAGATTTCGACTATGACAACACCCACAGCCTGAGAGAGAGACTGGTGATGGCGCTGTCTAATTTGGAATTTGAAGGAATAACGGTAAGCCGTGAACGAATTCATCTTCACAGTGACAAAAAGAGTACTATAATGAAAGGGAACATTAAATTTTTTATGATACAAAGGACCAGTGTGGTAATTGTGTCCACCACTTCCGAACCCGAGTCCAATTAGGTCGAGTCTGAGTTCATGTCCAAAATATGCAAGTCCAAGTTAAAAAATCGAAGTCCGAGTTGAGTTCCAATAAACAAACACAATGTTTTCAACATAACGGAATCGGTACAAATAATACATTGACTTCCACAAGCACAGGGTATACAAAGAATGCAGAAACTGTGCCGATTTGTGACTGGTAGGTGCGAACCTGAGGGAAAAACGAAGGATTTTCAAGCACTACTTTCAAGTATTCGTATACCGAGGAGCCACACATGCAGATTTTGAAGAAACACTGGTTTTCAAGATAACTCTCAGTGAATTTTTGCTTATTTTCAAACTGGAAAACACACAAACGTGGATCAAGTTTATGCTGTAAAAACCTCAACTGGTTCTTTGAGAGGTAAACTCTTGCCTGAACCAAGTGCTTGCAATGAACGCAGTGGTTAATTAGCCAAAACTCAGTCAGTAAAAATGAGCGTTCGTTTGCGAAATCAATGTTTCCCTACCATCTGGCCTTTCTGTTCAATGCATTTTTTTCCACAGGGAAGGGTCACACATCTTTACCGCACACAGCTGTGAGCGCACCAAAGATGTGTAGCCCTTCGTTAAAATAAAAATCTTACTTGGCCTACTTTCCGCCCTTTCCAGTCTATGCGTTTTGCACGTGTACGAGGGTAGTCAGATTTGTGTCTCCAAGTAAAAATGTAAAATAAAGTTACCAAGATTTTGGCCACTAATAACATTTATGTAATTTTGACATGAACATGTTTTGCTTGAGGAAGCATGTCCAAAAGGCCAGGTACGAAGTTAGTAAAAAATAGTAAAAGAAAAAAGAAAACATCGAAATGCAAACAATGTTGTTTTGTGACATTTGCGCCACTTACTGAAAACCAGGGGGTGTGTGAAGAATTATTCTTTATGCGTTAGTTATCCTTTATCGAAACCACGCAAGTTAACTGAAAAGAAAAAATCTATAAGAAACAATGTTTTTAACTGTATTTGCTTCAAATCATAGTTCAATAATATTTTTTCAAATAAAACTGACAGCCTTAACCACAGAGTTGGTGCATTAATTCTAAACACATGGTCAACGTGTACCCAGGCTTTTGCCAATTGCAAGAACAGAGGTTAACATCACCCCATCCTATATTTCGAATGTGGAACTTATAAACTAATGCTGACTCTTTCCGTAACAACTTTCCCGACATGTTACAAAATATTTCATACCGTTGCGCAGCTTGTAGTGGGAATCTGCAACACTTTTTTTTTACTATTTTTTACCCACGAAAAATAAAATGTGTGGCCTAAATGCGGTTACATTTTAAGGAGTAAAGGTTTTGTTTCCTACCGCATGCGCGCAAGATTGTTTTACCGCAAAGACTCCTTTGAAACAGTTCCAAGTTTCGTTTATGTTTCTTGTCTATTTCCTTCTTAACATTAAAAAGGGTGCTGAGGATAAAAAGGTCAGTTTTGGATAGACTCGTACCGGACTCAGACCAAGTCCTAGAGTCTTTTGGGCTGAGTCCACCACATAAACTGGGCAACTTGATCATCGAGAATTTGTTTACCAATATCATTTGATGCGAGAATACCCGTCAAAATTGACTATTGGTTGACAATTTGTAGCTGATCGAATATGCCTGCTGATTCCGAGTCCGTCAAAAAGTGGACCGAGTTCGAGTCGGACCTGGCACCCTACGTCGCTGTAGTGGATACCAAAGGGCTGTTAAAGAAGTATATAGACACACAAGGGGTTGTATGCATTGCTTGCACCTTGTACAGGAGATAGGGAGGTGCCCTTACGTTCTAAAAACTCCCAGGTCAGATTGACCCAGAATTGGGCCCCATTCGGCGTGACCCTTTTCCGGGTCAAAATATCTGGGTCGTATAACTTGAATAGAATTTCCGTGTTGTACACAAACTTTGTAGAGATGAAACGAGGATATAGGCCTATTTGTGGAAGTGTAGGTATATACGTCGGTAAAACAGCATTGGTTGTTGTGAATGAGACGGAACATTACTCCGATGCGTGACGTTAACAATCGTAATTATAAAATGAGTTATCTTTAAAATCATCATTTTCTTTGTTCATGCTGTTAGCCTTTTCTATCACTGTAATTTGCATTAAACTATTCTATACCAGTTTCTTGTATTAAACTATTGCATAAAGAATACCAAGTTGAACGTCCAAAATAAAGACAGTACGAATAAGGTATTACTGTTTCCTTTTTGAAGCAAATTTCTCTCGAGTCATTCTGGATTTATTCATTTCATGTTCCAGTGTTTCTCTTTGTCTAATGATTTTAGGGCTTCGTCACATTCGATGCATCTGGAGATCGTCTGGCACCTTTCAAAATTGAACAACTATTAGGTGAGTGGTGCTACGTACAGTGGCAGGAATTGTGTACAACACCATCACTAAACCAAACAGGTAAAAGTAAGCCGGAGAAGATGTTTGAGCCGCAGTGTTTCCCACAATAAGTAGTAAAACATTTACTGAAACTTATCTGCCCCGTGCGGGACCAAGAGAGGGAGAAAATTTCCTGGCAAGGGAGGCTCTTTTGGTGGGAACTGCATGCACTTCGCTAGTTAACGAACGATTATGAAATGCTAGCGTTGCGGTCGCATCTCTGCCAATAAAATGAACGCTCCCCAATAGCATATCTCTTTTCAACCTCTAAGGGGGTGCTTCTGCTCTCTTTTCAACCTC